GTTAGAGAATACATGGATAGTGAGCCACACATAGAGTAGTGGTAAACAACAAATTAACTTCTTTCTACCCTTTTCATAACAAAAATTGAGAGCACAATATGTATCTGCTAGGACAGCCGATACTGGATTTTCTGCTCTATTTTGGAGAGCCAAAAACACATCTATAGCAGAAAAATCTATATAATCTTCAAGATGTGGAAAGAGAACAATTCCATAGATAGTAAGAGCCAAAACTCCAGTAAAACCAATCCAATCATTCTCTTCGAATAAGATTTTCATCCTTTCCACTAAATAACTTCTTGGAAACCCATATATGCCATTTCTATTTAATTTTCTCTTTTCCAACTCTTGCTCTTGAATTCTTAACAAACCTGCCATTGTCTTCATAGAAGGATGATGCCCCTGATAATTGTAAGGTTTGTTATCTTTCAATGATATCCCTAAAATCCGCTCATATTCTTCCAGCGTGGGTGCCAATTGGAAGTCACGAAATGTAAAGCACCTCAAGGGATGATCATAAAATTGCGTTAATGCTGATATAGCCTCCACTTGCACATTGAGTTCTAGCAAATCCAAGATATTTCCATATTTTTTTCGTGAAAGCTACACGCTTAACCCCTTTCACCAAATTACTACAAGGTTGTAAAAATTGAACATCAGACATCTTAACTTTCACAGAAATTGTCCCTTTTGTCTCACTACCTGATCCCATGTCTTATTTTTTCAAGTACCCTAAATCAATCTTTAATGTTTACTATTCTCCAATAAACCTATTAATGCAAAATAAGAATGAATGAGTATAAAATGATGCATGCAAATATGATATTGAATTGAATTATTGAGAAATTATTATGTTCTTAATGTAAAAAATAACATGGTAAAGTAACGAGAAAGAAAGAGTAGTGGATATGGGTAAAGATGTCTTATAGTGTCTTAAGAGGTAATAATATGTATCTTACAAGTCTAATAATTTTCTCTAGCAAGTGAGTTTTATCAAAGGTAATCAAACATCTAAAATCACTTGGTCTCTAGAGCTTAGTACTCATCTCGGTTTGTGACTACAAATTGGAAGTACATCTAAGGTGTAGGAACTTACGAAAGAGTCACGCTCTAGATAAGACTTTCATGATTACCATATTGGAAGTACATCCAAAATGACATCGCTAATTGTCTTTCACTCCCTAGGATACACTCAGGCCCGGGTATAGGACCTCACTCGTAAGTGTGAACAGATATGGGTGTAATGTGTGAAGGGCTAGTCTTAAACTAGCTTGCAAAACAAACAAGAAGTCCACAATAGAAACATGTCTTCTATCCTAGGATTTTATTGAAGTAGAGATATTTTACAATGAATTAATGATGATAAAATAAACACGTACATATAAAGCTAAAGAAAGAGGGATGTAACAAATAATAAAAAAATTTAGCCTTTTTTTTCACATCTAATTATGATAGGCTTGACTCAATGAAGTCCCCAGTGGAGTCGCCATCTGTCGCTATCAGAATGGAGTCACCACCAATGAATGACAAGATTAGGTTTCTAAATGAAAGAAAAACAATGGAGTCGCCACCAATATTTATTTTAAGGAAAAATATCGGAAAAACCTTCAAAAAAAGAAAAAAAAAGAATCTACAAAATAAAGATTGGATTCGAGAGTCGATTATGTGTAAGGAAGGTATTAACACCTTACAACATCCGTTCTAAAAAAATAGTTACCTTTAATTAGATGTAAAAATTTAAGTATCTTAAAATTATCTATTTTATCCCTTAAATTTATGTATTGATTAGATACTGCTACTAAATAAAAAATTATATATTTTTATATTATTAGCTCGGCGAGAGATCATCTCCCTGCTCCTACGTATCCCCAGGTACAATGGAGAATCGGAGTAACGTAGTTCTTTCTTATAAAAAATGTATTTGTGAGTAATTTATTTACATTTATTTATTAGTGTTGACAAATTAAAAGTATACTTAGGATAATTATGAAATAAACAAATTAGAAGTGCATCTAAAGTGATTATTGTTCTTTTTTATAATTTAAGTGATAATTAAATTGGAAGTACATCCAAAGTAATTACTTAATTTTTTTAATTTTAAGTAATAATTAGTTTAAAATGTGTCCTAAACAGTTATTACCATAATTAAACCCTTTTGAAATTCATTGTACTAAAAAATTAACATTTTAAATTAATTTTTATAACGATCAAATTAAAATGCGCTCAAAATAACCATAAAATTTTAATCTTATAATATTAAATCAAATTGTAATTATATTTAGATAACTTTATAAATTTATTAGTTCTAATTAAAAAAAGAGGTTGTAATACAAAAAAAGTTTATTTGTGACTAATGTAAAATATTATTCATCTACTTATTTATTGATTTTAAATAAAGAAAAATAATAATAATAATAATAATAATAATAATAATAGTAATAATAATAATAATAGTAATAATAATAATAAGATAATAATAATAATAATAATAATAATAATAATAATAATAATAAGATAATAATAATACTAATTCTTTTTGTTTTTTATAATTTATTGTATTATGTTGTTCAGGAAAAAAAATATTAAGCCCAACAACTCATGAAAAATTTGCAGATTACTATTTGAAACATTTTATGTTATTTTCACCCCTTCCAGTTTGGGCCACACATTTTTTATTTTTTTTTAGCCCACTTTTTTTTGAGCCCACTCTCAGTCTCTTAACCCATTTTCTCTTAACATAAACTTAAACCTAATGGAAACGCTAGATATGGGAGCCGCAAGTGATGGGAGCCGCAGGATATCAGAGTTGCGGAGGGGCTAGGGTTGCCGAGTGAGGCGCGACCAAGAATCACGCACGACTAGGGTTCAAGTGAGAGAGATGGGGATGCTACGGTGGTTTCCAGTGGGGGAGACAACTTAGCGGTGGATATTTAGGGGTGCTAGTGGAGGCACGGGGTCGGGAAGGTGCATCGCGTGGATGCGACGACTACACGGTGGCTACAATTAACGATAGAGGTTTAGGGGTACTGGTGGAGATGCAGGGTCGGGAAGATACACCGTGGATGTGACGGTTACACGATGGCTAGGGTTCGCTTGCAATGGATACGACAAAGATTAGGACCGATTTGAGTTTCTTTGGGGAGGTTAGCGACGGTGACTACGGTGGCAGTTCACGGTGGCTTGGTAGTGAGGACAGGAGTCGCAATGGTTTTGGTGGTGGCCATTGGTGAGGCGGTGGAACTCGCTGTGGTAATGATAAGTAATGTTTTTTTTGTTGATTTTTTTTATAATTTTTATTAATCGTTAAAATATGTGCAATATATAAATACTATTACAAATTGGGAACCTTTGGTTTCATTGATTGCCTCTGTTGTTGCCTGTGTTGTACAAACTGTAATTTTTCGTTCCTCTCCCTTAGCTTAGGGTGGCTGGGAGGAGACCATAGGATGGGCTGGGAGGAGACCATAGGGTGGATTGTCTTTTTATTTATTTATTATTTTTTTATATTATCTTTTTAGTGTTTACAAATACCAATGATTAATATCTTATCAACATTATAATTTTTTAACCATAACACCTATTTTTGATGTTGATCACTTTTTTTTTTTAAATTTAGTGATTCCAAAGTTAAAGATGATTTTTTTTCTTTTCATGTTTATTTTCAAGAAAAAAAAATAGATTATTTGATTTAGTAAAAGTGAAGTCATGAGTTTTTTACCAAATTGTGTCTTTCCATAACCTTGGGTGTTATATTTTTGGATTGGATTTGAGAGAAAAAACATAAAACTTATATATATATATATATATATATATATATATATATATATATATATATATATATATATATATATATTAAAAAAACTAATAAAATATTTAAATATAATCATAAAATAAAGGAATAGATTTTGACATATAATGAGTTTCAGTAAGAATGTTTGTAACTACTTAAAAAAAAATCCTATAAACTCATTCTAGAAACGTCATTTCAATTGATGACCCCTTTTTTTAATTATATATATATAGGTCTCATATTTTTATTACTATTTTATGGGATTGAACTCTCTTGATATCACTAAAAAGTGTCCTGTTTAACCAAATATTTTAAATAATTTTATTAAAATGAGTATATATGACTTGTTATCTTGCAAACATAATCACACAGAATGAGAGATCTAAAGCATCTTAATTTGGTTTTATAGATCAACTAAAAAAAGTAATTTTAAAATAAATTATAATTATTATATCCATTTTTAAATTGATTACAAATTACAAAAGAAAAAATATATAAAATAATTAATTTAAAAAATATTTTTAAATAAAATAAAATATAAAAATATAAATTTTCAAAATTAAATTTATATTAATAAAATTAAATTTTATTTCATATATAATAATTTAATATATAAATTATATAAAGTATAAAAAATAAATTAAAAAAACTTACTCTTAAATATCATCGTTCATTTTTTAAAAATTAATATCTAAAATAATAATTTAAATCCTAAAATAAATAAATATTAAAAATTTACAATTATATTTTTTTCTCTCAAAATAAATAAATCATTTGTCAATTTAATTTAAAATTTTTATAAAGTAATAGATTTTTTTATTTTAAAAGTTATTGTTATTTTATAAATCATACCTGTATATAAACCAACTTACGGTCTAAATAAATAATCCAAGTCAAAATCTAAATTTATTTAGACCATAATCTAACTAATCCAAGCCAAAATTAATCCAATTTAATTAAGGAATTAAGGCGGACTGATCCATGGAATTAAGAATATTTTCACATCCAACCCAAAAGACCAACGTGGGCCATGCTTTAATTAGGCAATTACATAACCAAAACAATCTGAGCCATAGTTTAATAAGGTAATCACAAAGTCACACGGCTATGTAGTGAAATCATTTCATGATTTCAAAAATTTTGTAGTGATACTTGAAGTCTAATTTTCAACCAAATCACAAGAAATATCATGATTGGGACGGTTTTTTCCTTATAGGATCCGACTGCCCGTGATGGTGTGATAGTTAGATTCATCTAACTCACTTAGCTTGCCATATTTTTTTTCATAACTTTGTAGAAGCTCAAACCTACAAAAGAAGGGTTAAAAAATCAATGCAAACACATTCAATTATCAAATACAAAATTAAAACCCTTAACATATTAGTATTATTTAAATACCAAAATACAATAGACTGGAATGGTGCATATTTCATGTAAATTTGTTCAGCATCTTCAACAATTGTTAGACTTTTGCAACTTGAGATCCCATATACCTAAAAGGAGTAGTAAGTAATATGTTTTCTAATAATGCAAATTACATAACTCATAAAACAATCATTAAATGATTTTCATTTTAGCAGTAAAATGGTGTAAACAAAACCTGTTTTATATGCCTTTTTGTTTCTGAATCAGCAGGAACCTTCTGATAGCATCCCATGCACATTAGAACTGTTGCAATGGAAAATGGACCAAACCCTTTTAACTTACTCAATCTACGATGCACATCTTGATATGAGTACAAATTGCAATTCTTTTCGAGTTTCTCCAGTGAGAGGGTCCCACTCTCTACATTTTTAGCCAATTGGATAATGTATTTTGCTCTCATTCCTAGCCTACAGTGTTCTTTCAGATTAGTTTCACCAATTTCCACTAGTTCCTTCGAGTTAGGAAAATTCCCTACTTCATCATTTTGCATATTGCTTTCATGGATATTTTGTCCTTTTGACCTGGTTAGTTGTAATTGAAGCTCACACAGAGATTTAGCCATCTTCAGGGTTCGCCCCCACCTGTTAACAACAAAATTTATGATTCAATCAATAGTAACCAACAAATCACATATAATAATCAAACTTCCAAATCAATGTATAGTTATTACTCGTTTAAACACAAGCCACATAAGTTTGACTATCACTCTTTACTTTACCATCCCAATCGCAGACTGCATTTTAAAAAGAATATAATTAAACCAACTTCAAGTAAACCACAGTTCTAAAATTAGTTTAGTTTAATTAAAGTAAATAGCTGGTGGATTTTGCACTGCAATAATACCAGCTTAAGCCTCACATCCTTATGTCCCGTTTTTTAATAACTTGTAAGTTTCAAACATAAAATAGTTAATAATGTGAGTAAATTTCACTTTTATAACCAGTCTTTTATGTTTTCATGGTTCTATATAAAAGTCTGTATTTTATACTTTTAGAACAACTTATTTTAGTTCTCTTAAACAAAAATATCGAACAGACATGAACAAACTATGTTACCAAATACGTGAACAAACTGGGTTAATTTATTTAATATTTTAGTTAAAAAAAGGATTAAAATAAGCCTATTAAAAGTTAATTTACAAACAGCAAAACAGAAAGATTAATAGTATTGTTAACCACAGCTTACGAGCAATAGCAAAGCAGTATAGACTTGACGACATCTTCAACAATCGAAGGAGAACGAAATATTCTACCAAACCCTTCTTCTTTCGCTTGTGGATAAAGTTCTTGCAACTCGTTCACTGTCTTTTCGTCTTCGTCACTTATCCTTAGCATTCGTGCCACTTGTCCCTAATATATCAAAACCATCCAAACAAAATACTTCTCCAAATTAGGACTCACAAAAAAAAAAAAAAAAAAAAAAAATTGATAAAACAAACTTGTCATGAGCATATATATACCAATATTGCTTGCTGGTTTTCCAGAGATAGGGCTTGCTTGTGATGAACATAGATATGGAGATTGGGTTCCCCAGGAAGATGGGAGATGGTGACAGTGACACTGGTATGTTGGTCAATAAGTCTTAGGGGACGTTGCAGAGATTTAGTTGATGGAATCCACTTGTTTGGAGCCATCATGAAAAGGCCATGGTTGCAAATCGCCTTTTCCAAGTTGAAGCTTGACTTACATTTTCCCAGAGCCAAACATAGCAAGCGCTTGGGCCTTGAAAAGCTTTCCTTCATCCTCCAACCCCCACCAGAAAACAATAATAATAATAAACCAAAATCAGGAAAGAAAAAAGAAAGAAAGAGAAGGCCAGAGAAAAAAGGCGGGAAAATATCTCATTTCTAGTACATTTTTACTGTGCGTGATATAATTACGAGATTATTTTCATATTTTGTATTTTCTTAAATTTATTATTTGCTTACCAATATAATTCTAATTTATGTTTTATAATAATCATGAATGGAGAGTCAAGAAGAAATGTTAAAGGGAGACAATAATAAAATTAATTTTAGTGTGCTATATTAATTACAGTATATTTCTAATTATTGTATATATAATTTTACATAGATTAATAACAAATTGATATTTAAGTTTGGCTGAATTTTTTTACAAAACACGTCTTCAAAGTAATAGAAATCATCATTTTTAATTGATTCACACCGTAAACTTTACTGAATAAATGTTAATTAATCATTTAGGTTTTGAAAGTGTAAATAGGTCTTAATTAAATTTTTTTACTTAATCTTGTGTAAAGATTGTGATGATTTTTTTTACCTATTTTTGTAAGATCGCTTTGTTATTAAACTAAATATTTATTACTAATAAAAAATAAATTTCTCATTAAATGTTAAAATTTAGAGACTAACATTAAAAAATTAAATTACATATTTTAAACTTTTTTTCAAAATATAAATTATATATATATATATATATATATATATATATATATATATATATATATTTATTTCGGAGAACACCCACCATCTCACTAGAAGCAAAAAATGTTTAATTACAATAGTTATTATAAAAACTAATAATTTGTATATATGTAATCTAAGTGTTCCAAATGAGATGTTTTTTAATATTCAAATACTAAATATTATAAATTTTAAAATTAAAAAGTTAAGAATCAAGCCCAACTTAGATAATTTTTCTTCTTATAATAATTTATTGATTTTTTAATAACTCTATTAAGTTTATCTTTTTAATATAAGTGAATTCAAATATTTGTAATTTAAACTTTTACATACGTATTCATAAAATATAAAAAGTAAAAAACGAAATAAAAATTGGGATAAAAATATAAATGATCTTTAAATTAATATTTAAAAAATACTTAAATGCTCGTACAAAACTGTAATAATTATGCGCAGTCTATATTTTAGACTTGACAAGATATTAATTATTGTCCACTCCATCATTATCTTTTATTAGAGAGCGAGATAATGGTATTAAAATATTTTTATTTTTACTCGTATATTTTTATCTCTCATGTACTGAACTCTCATTTCCAATTTTACATCTATATTCAGAAAAAAAATAAAAAATTAAGCACCTCAAATCACGGAGATGAGAATTTTTCCTAATTAAACTCCATCCCCATTAAATTTTCTTAACTAAATTTATTGTTAAACTACTTATTAGAAAGACCTCTGTTTTCTGTAAGATCAAAATGGATTATCCGAATTTTGGTTATCAAATCTGTTATGTTTATAGAATATTGTTTCAAAAAATTTATGTTTAATAAAATATTTGAGGTGATTAAATTAAATTATATTCATTAATTAATAAATTAATTAATAACAAAAGTTTAAATTAAATTTGAAAAATGTTATTATTAATATTGAATAATTAATTTCAATACAACTTAAATTTATTAATATTAATAATTAATGTCACTATAAAAAAATTTCAAAATAAAATATTAAATTTATGTGATTATTAATATTTTTTTAAAAACTAATCGTTATCAATACAATTAGTATTAGTAATTAAATTTATTTCCATATTAAATATTCAATTAACATCTTAATAAAATAATCTAAGATATTATTAACAAATATAATACTATATTTAATTTATTAAATTAATAATAACAAATTATTTATTAATTTTGTATTATTTTAATTGAAAACTATTAATAACAAATGTAATACGTATGTGTTATGAATATATTGATAATTATATTAAAAATAATTTATTATAATAATTAAATTAAATTAGTTATTATTAATAAAAATATAAATTATTATAAACAAAATTGTGATGAAAATTTAATATATGATTCTTAATTTAAAGTTTCATTACTTATTATCAAAGAAAAGTTATTTCAACCGTTATATAAAAAAGATGTTTCCCAATTTTTCAACATTTAGTAATATAAGACAATTAATACATGATACCTAAATCTTCCACAAGTAGAACTAGTTGAAGTATGTCGATGTAAAAATAGTAAAAATTCTTTTACTTGTTTCACATATTCAGCAATTATGTGAGTTTAATTAATCAAACTTCTGTCCATTTTTAGATTTTTAATGTATATATAATTATATAATTCAGCCAACAATACAATTTATCAGCGATCGGACATCCTCGAACTAACATACATTCGTTTAAGTAAATTCAAATATCAATGTCAATCATCACAATGCAAACAATCTATTCATGCAATCTTAATCATAGAAAGTCAGAACAATTACTTACTACAAAGGAAGAAAGAACAACAAAAACGAAGGAGAAAGGAGGATGTGCGCGACAAAAATGAGGGAAGAAGGTGAGCGGAAATATGATATAGAAGATACAACGACGATTATTAGTAATAATCGTCATCGTATAACACATACAATAATAATTATTAAATATCCGTCATCGAATAGCAATTGTCTCCAACATTTGATGATAAGTCTTTTATAATTATCGTTATAGGTGTTATACAACAATGATTATTAAATAACCATAGTTATATAGTTGATTATAATTTTAAAAATATCATTGTATCGTCTTTAACAAGGGATTCTAAATGACCATCGTCAATACTCTATTTTACACTAGTGTGAACTATGTGAACCATTGTTTTTGGATAGATGTACCATTGAACTTAGTGCTACCAATGATAGTTATGACATGCCACTCTGTGCAAAAGAAGGGTGTGACAGGGTTTTATGATGACATTTGATGCATTCAAAGACTAGTTAATGATGTAAAGTTTGACAATTTGCAAAGTTAGTCATTTAACATATTTTCTTAAAAAATAACCATGTTTTTTAATGGTATTAACCATGTTTGTTTGATAGATGTCTCACTAAATCTAGTCATTGCTAAGCTTTACAAAGGCAGGGTGACACTGTCCTTAAAAGGTTCAACTTCAACGACGGTGTTAGCATCTAGAAGGCGTTCAACCATGACCAACACTCAGACTCTGACTTATCTAATGTGCCACGGTCTCCAAAATGCCTAACGATGCTCAAGCAGGTTGAGTTGTATAATAAGCGCTAAGCCATAATATAAGTTGCTCAGTGATAATTTTCAATAGATATAGTTCTCTCTATAAGTGTGTCGTTGAACGGTTACTAATAACACTTAGTAAAAATGGACGACCTTACTTTCTCTAAATCGCTTAGCGTTTTTGTAGGAGCTGAGCGAATAAAATATTACTTTAATGAGTTTAACTTGGTTTTGTATTTCACTCACCACATTGTCAAAATGTGACCATTGTATGTGAAAACATAAAGTATGAACCAATTGTAAAATGCATTCATAACAACTTTATTTACCAACTTATTTACATATTGCTACATGAAAAATCTGTCAAATTTGTTTCCATAAACTAATCATACAATAACATCCCTTTCTATTAGAGTTTGGACAACATTAAGATGTCAAATAATATGAACCCAAAACATTTTTCAAATATGTCTACTACATAAATCACCAAATGCTATACCAATTCAAATAATGTTTTTTTTTTTAATTAAACATCCACAATAAACAATAAGTACATAAATTTCAACCACACACTAGAGATGGAAAAACTAAATGTTTTGTATATAATAAGTGAAAATGATAGTCATAGTCAACTGAAAGCACTGTGGGAAGATTGAAAGCACTATAGAAAGATTAATAGCAATGTGAAACATTTCCCTACATTCTGAAGAAGATGATTTTGATAAAGATTCAAGTCAACATCATTCAAGACTCAAACAAACCCAAAATGAAGCTTGAAGACTAGATATATGTAACATCCAAGTATTTCCCAAAAATATTTCATTAATATAATAAAATATTTTGTCATTAACTTTAATAAAATGGTATTATGAGTTATTTTAAGACTTGATAATTTTTAAAGATATTAATAAATAATATATATATATATATATATATATATTATGAAATTTTAATAGAGTGAAATAGATAAATTTAGAATTGAGTTTAAAATGAAGTAATAATAATAATAAGAGTAATATCATTAAGCAAAATTAGTAATATAATTTCCCATTGATGAAAGGATTTAATTGGTAAGTGAAAAAGTAAGTGAGGGTAATTTTGGAAAGGAGGTTAAATTTAAAGAAGAGAAAGACCAATTTTCTTTCTCACTTACGAAAGCCATTTTGGGAGCACTGGAAGAAGAAGAGAAGCTTGCACTACAAGAAAAACACCAAATAGTGACCGAAAATTCGGTCACTAAATGTGCAAAATCGGTTACTAATTAAAATAGTGACCAACTCGAATCGGTCACTATTTCCTTGGTCATCGATTTTAGTGACCGATTATATATAACCAAATCGGTCAATGAAAAAGTTAATCAATAACAAATTTAATTATTTTTATTTATTTACATTTTTATTATATCTATTATTTATTTTCCCTATCTCTTAATTATATTATATTTTGCTTATTTAAGTTTTTATTTATATTTATTTAGTTTAACTTATTATTAGGTGGTTTATTGTCATTGTCGGGATTCGAACCCGGTACCTTAGAGTTGGAGGTTGAAACTCCAACCAGCTGATCTACTAGGATCTTTTAATAATAACTTACAAATAAATTATATTTATATACAAATAAATGTATATCCGTATAAATATAAAATCTATAAATAAAAATATATTTATATATTTTAATATATATTTAAATATTGATATATTTAAATATTGATATATTTATATATTGATATATTTATATAGCATAATGTATATTAATATATTAAGGGATTATATTGATATATTGATATATTTGT